CTACACATCAATTTAATCAGCAATGATTAGGCTTTGCAGGAAAAAAAAATTTGTCTCCAAAGGAGCTCGCATTCTTATGAAATAAAATTATAACCATCATAAATTAGCATAATTCATGCAATAAAATTTTGCAAAATACATAAAATATTAATCAGAGGTGTGAGTATCCAGAAAAGTTAAAAGGAAAAATGTTCCTTGATGTATCGCCTGCAAATCCTCCAAATCTGGTGGAAAAAGAGCAAAAACAAAATTAATTACAAATTTTTACTGATAACCATTTAATTCAATTAAAATCAATGCAAAATGTAATTCTGTTTTGGGTGGATGTGTCCTTTGGGGTGAACAAGAAATTGTTGTAAGAGGAAAAAAACAGATACCTCTCAAACCCCAAAAGTTGTTTTTTTTGGCCAAAATAACAATACTTCATAGTTTACCCACAACATGTGCAAAATCAATAGAAATCAATGCAAATATTTTCAATTTTCGGGAATTTGGGGGCAGAGTGTTTCTATCTGCAGTTATGTACATATATATGACTGTTGTAAAAGGCAAATAAAAGCTCTACTTCATCACCCACTATCCTAGTGTACCCAGACTACAATGCTTATTTCTTATTCTGTTGTGCTCATAAAACCTAAATTACCACATCAGGGCAGCAGGGGGGTGGGGGGGGGATTGGGGATTATACAGAGCAAAAAGAACAACAATAATATTATGATTTGACATTTGAACAACATATTCATCAGTTCATATGCAGAACAAGCTTTATTTTATAGAAATATATGTTGACAATAAACTGAACTGGAGGACTTTATCATCTCAAACCCCAGAATTCCCTCCATCGCCCTCATCACCAATCTAAATTCTTGATCACTTACAAAACACATCAGACACACATGTAATTTAGCAGATTGTTTCGTTAAGTCTTTGAGGACATCAAATAACAAGAAAGACCCAAATCGTAAAAGAGAGAGTAACAAAACGACGATAATTTTCAAAGCACGCACACCGGAAAGCTTCCTTAGCAACATAATGCATTTTCGAAATACACTGTAACTCGAGACTTTGGCGTCACAAGCACACTACATCGAGTCTTTTCACAGTGATGCCCCAAAACGACATTTCTAAACAATATTATAGAGCTATTCACCCTCAGATGCGAACTGAGAAAGATCTTTTGATGAAATAAGCAAGAATTCAAGCGAATTAAGACCACATTTTCCCGCAATTAAAGAACATATGTTCTGTTGCTCGTGACCTCGTGGCGTCGTATGAAAAATTTTTTTTCTCACTCACCTCGAATTTGCTCTCATTGAAAAGAAGGCGATCTAATTCACTTTCTTCACCAATCTATATGCCTTCTGAATCACTAATGCCTTCGTAGACCAGAGGTGTTGCTTCTTCTGAGCCTGTTTCCCCAACACAAGCGTATCCGTAGCCAGACGCCATTACGCTCACGATCAATGATGCATATTAACAATTCGGTCTGAATAATTTATTCAACCAATCTCAATGAAACACGGCCAGTGATTGGCTAATTCTACAAACTTCTTTTGTGCCAAGTTTGACGTCAATCGAATGTAACGCAAATTTTACATGAATTTTAGCGTCATTGGTCCATATGGACCAATAAATTGCAGTGCGTGACAAGAATGAGCCATCCAAAAGCCACCCGCATTTGTATGTGTTCAATAAACCAATCAATTCACTCTTTTTCCGTTATTTTGTTGTTTCTGTATTGTTCGCACATTTTCATTTCAAGGTCATACTTAAATTGCTCTAATAGACCCCTCCATGGTTGTTTTCAAAATTTTGACTAGGACCAGTGAGCGATAAACTGTCAACATGGCTGGAAAGAATGCCTTAAAATCTGTAAAGCTGCCAGATTTGAAAGTGATTTTTTGGAAACTAACAAAGACTTGGCTGTGTAAAGTCACGAAAATTTACAGACATTGGTACACTGTATGGTGGGGGCCAGATGTTCGCCCTACACACACACAGACCACCAGCCTACATACAAATGTCCGCAAAAATTTTGCAAGTTGGTGGAGAAAATAATAATTATCTTTGCTTGCTTTGTGGGCATATCCTTTTTGGATTACTGACTTACATGTACTAGTCAAAAGTTGAAGGAAAAAATGTGGAAGGTCTATTGTAGTACCTGTAAGAATTAATATAAAAGTTAAGACCCACCCACGTAGGTACATGTTGAACTTTGAGTAAGGCAAATTCTCTAAAAGACAACTAAATCCATGATTCTTTCTCTCCCTTTTCCTCCCGTTTTCTCCTGTTGAACCCAGACAAGTCATGGCTGAGAGAGTTTGCTTACAGGCTACGTGCGTTTGACTACTGATTCTCCAAGATGATTTTTTTCGCTTGACACATTTTGGTTCTGCTTTGTACATGTACCTTGTGCATTTATTCTGTGGAATTGTCAAGGAGAACTGATAATTGAGATAAGAGTCAAATTATTGATCTTTCCTGGAAAATTCATCGTTTATACACCTTCATGTACATGTTCCCTGTTAGTGTTTCTGCATGATGTCTTGTTGCATGAAGAATGAGACACACCCAAGTAAAATTTAATTCTGTCTTTTTATACACTATGACAATAATATTTAGTTTAAAAGAAAGCTGGAAGAAATGAGAGAAAAGAGAAGAATAAACAAGAAACTAGGGTGAGTTTAATTAGCAGTTAAATGTCAATTTGTACAAAAAATTACTGGAGAATAAGTACTATACATATACACATGTGATTCTTATGTACATGTACATTACATGTAGTTGCACTAAAAATTATTATTGTTTGGTCTCCTTTCTCAATTTCCCTGCTGATTTTAAGAAAACTTTGTCTTTTTGTTATAAGCTTTCATAGTAGAAAATATTGATATTATTTTATTGATCTGTGAAGAGGAGAAAAAATTCCATTATTGTTGGGGAGGTGAATCTGTGACTTACTTTTGCACAATCAATGCTTTACTGTTTGAACTGCACACCAAGGTGTTATAGGTCAAAATTGCATTCCAGTTAACTGTGGTCTTTTTCTCCTACATAGCTCTAATGATTTAATTATCTGTGATTTAGGGCTAGGAGGCAAAGGAAATTGATAATCAACCTTAATAATTGAAAAATTTTAACCTAAGTATTTAATTATGAACTACACGTATAATATAAATTATGCACAAGTCAGCTGGAAGTAGGCCATGCAAAATCTCTTCATTACAGCTGTAGGTGGAACATGTCCCTAGTTCTTGATCAAAATATACTTGTACAGAATAGTAAAGTAAAATCATTACTACAATCTATACTGTCTCTTTTGTCATTATTATTAAATTTATCTTGCAAAAAGTTCCATTAAACTGTGGCTTGTATCTTTTCTTGCATAGTAAAGTAAAAAGTCTGGGTGCAGCAGATAGTGATAATGATGATTCTGCTGCTTCTTGGGTGGCCAAGAGCAGGAAGAAGGAGAATGAAAAAAGCCTGGCTGAGAAACGAGTAAGTTACCATCGTAGTTCGTACAATCTTGAAAAGGTCTTGAATTTTAGTGGTTGTCTTGAAAAGTCCTTGGATTCGGTTAATTTATTTGCATTTGGTGGAGCTAAAAATAGTGGCAGTGACAGAGAATGCAAATACTTTCCATTTTCAGATCTGGGTAGTGCTTCTGATTGGTTGTGCCACCTGGGAAATTTGCTTCAACCAATCAGAAGCACAACCCGGATCTGGGTAGTATCATGCCATCAGTATGGAATTTCTGTGCTCATTTCTCAGATGTCATTTCTCAAAGGAGACAGTGGTGGCTTCATGAAATGGCAGCCGTTTTCTGTTTTCTCAGGCTATAGTAAATAATGGTAACCCTCTATAAGCCTCTCTTTACTTGGTAGATAAGAGATTAGACCACTCAGTGTCCGGGAATTGACGGGTTTAATCCCTTGTTATGCATGAATGAAATGTTGTTAGCTTTCTTCTCTAGTCTATCAACTTGTGCTACTGTTTTCAGAGACAAGCAGCAGTACACACGTCATGTTGCAACTTTGCTTGAATAAAATTAATATAATAATATTATAATTCTATAAGAATAATAATAATATCATTGTGGTCTAAAGCTTCTATGCACCCACTAGCTTCGCCCAGGTTTAACCAGATTGTAGGTAAGAAAGGGTTGTTGACTTTTCAACGTAATTAAATAAAATGATTTTTTCTCCCTTAGGCAAAATTACTGGCGGAAATGGATGAGGAGTTTGGGATAAGTGACCTGGTAGAGGAGGAATTTGGATCTCTTACTACGCCAACAAGACAAGTGAGGATATTCAATGCAATTGTTAATAAACCACTTACATTATCATCAAAAGTGTAAACTATGTGCAGTTGAAGGGGTACCTGGAAAAAACTAGTCATATGTGATTTCTGATCAAACTGTTCAACTCTTCTTTTATTAATCCGGAGGATGTTTACCTGTCATGTATAAAGCTAAGAGAGATCAAGAGTTCATTTAGAACCTATCTTCCTTGCACCTTTTGAAGAAATTCATTAGGCTAGTAAGTTCAAATAATTATCCATTCAAATGTTCTTAAAGCGTAGCTCGAATGAAAATGCTGACAGCCGTCTTTAACACCTGCAGAAGCCTATTTAGGGCTACTGACACCGGTGACGTTTTTAATAGTTTTGATAAAGATGGCTGTCATTCGTTGAAACTGTCAACATCATTAGAATTTTTCTTTCAGGCTATACTTTGAGATCATTTGAATACATTTTCTTGCACCTATTAACCTCATTATTTTTGAAATATGCACATGTACGTGTACACAGAATATGGTTTGAAAGGTTGCACTACATCCTGCTGATTGGGAGAGGGCATCGTGAGACCTAGAGGGGAGATAGTGAAGGCATCAGAAAGGTGATTGGTGCTGTGATAGAAATGAGATGGTCGATTTTAACCCTGGGAAATACATGAGAAAGATGATTTTTCAGTCAGTGACAGTGACAATGACTTTCAGCTGCCTGTATGACTAACTGAAAAATCATCTTTCTCTTGATTGGTGCCTTAAAGGTGTCTGCTGTGTAGGATTAGCTGAAAGTTGCATTTCTCTGATTTAACAGAATTTTAGGGTTACAAGAAGTACGCCTTCTGGATTCCATGTCATTAACACACCAAACCATCCCTAAGTTCGTCTCTGCTGCATCCCAAATGAGCTGTTGATGGGCTTTAAATGAAACAAATGTATTTGATCACATGAAATTGTATGATATTACAATATTTGCTCAAGGCTGTGCTCTAAGTAGTAGAACAACCTGGGCAACCTGCTTTTGGTAACATAGAAATCCTTGTTTTTGTACACTTGGTGGGGCCCCTGTGTTCCAAAGGTTCAGAGCTTTTGGCACAATTTTTTCTTAGTTTAGAGTACAGCCTTGAATTATCTCCTATGATTTACAGATACAGTGTAATACTCTTATTTTTATTTCTAGGCCTACTCTAGTCGTGATCTAAGAGGCTTGAAAGTTGAACACTCACAAGAGCATTTTACAGTGAGTAAATCATTTCAAAAGAGGAAGGCCAAAAAAAAAGCACAGAGAGTGAATGCGGAGCATTACACATATAGTGCACTGTTGCTTTTGCCAGAGCGGTACTCTAGATTTAAAGTAACCAGGATGCTTAAAAAGTTTTTTTTTGGGGGGGGGGGGGGGGGTTGTTATATAAATTTAATCCGTTTATGGAAAGTATGTTAGGTTAAGAAATTTACCATGGCATTGTATAGGTGTTAATTTGTACGATTAAATCGTAAATCATTAAAGCTATGAGACAGTTATGTAACCCCAATTACATGACTATTGTCCATGTATAACTCTTGCTTTGTCAATACTAGCAATAAAACAGCCTTCTTCTCCCTTTACCATGGCCATGATGATACTCTCAAAGGCTTATTTGGAATTTTTTTTCAGGAGGGAAGTTCAGTGATAATGACTCTAAAAGATGCCTGTAAGTTGATCTATTTTTCATATTCTTCAGTACTGTCAATTGTGATAACCTTATAACGTTAATTTTACCAGCAACTTTAAGATTTAGAGCAATAAAACTGAAAAAATAAACAAATATCCCAAATTGTAAGGAAAAAGTGCCTGTTTTTTAGAAGAGGGCATTAATTTTATTTGTTTTTTCTCCTTTCCATAACCTGGTCATTTTAGCTGTTCTTGATGATGATGTTGAAGAAACTTTAATTAATGTAAATATTGTGGACAAAGAAAAGGTAAGATTTTGTAGGTACAGATGGATGTGCAGGTGACCTGCATTTGAGGTCATGTTTGTGCCATTTTGTACTTTGTATGAGAGAAATTGACTTTTTGGAGCCATTTTCTTTTCTTTTCTCAGGGAAACAAAAACGTAGAGCTTAGAAAAAAGAAGCCTGACTACAGGCCATATGATGAACCAGAGATGGATGAATATGGCATGGTAAGATTTCCATGCATTTCTATCTCATCCTTTTTTATGATTGTCTTCTATATTCCAGCATCATTATCCTTATCATCGTCATCATTATTGTCCTTGCCATCATCATCATCATCACAACCACCACCACCACCACCACCACTATAATCATCGTCATTATCATCAGCAGCAGCAGCAGCACCATCAGCTTCATTCTCTCTCATTTGTATAATTTTTGTTATCACTATCCTAATTTTTATTGCTGTCATGATTCATAATTACCACCACCTGTCATCCTGATCCTGATTTGTACAGAGTGGTTATGTGACTGAGACAGATGATTCATTGATCTCCTGCTTAAACTAATAGAATTCCATTGTATTGTAATAATAACTAACTAATAGAATTCCTTTGTGGTAAGTGAAAATTGTGGCTCCTGTGTCATTTGTAGTACTTGAGAATTTTTAAAAACATTTTAAGCATTTTTCTGTATATTTTAGTGGGGATAACTCCGTAATCTTTTAATTTTTAAATTTTTACCTTTTATAATTTTAGATTTTAGAGAATTATAAATTCACCTTATGATACCATGTATAAACTCATTTTATAATTTTTTTCCTATTATTTTAGTGTACCCTATTAGCTTTTATATGCTAAAGACATCGACACTTAAATAAAGTTGTTATCTTATGTTATATTATTTTATATTGTGCTCACTGTAAGGTCAAAGCAAGAGGAGTTTTAGATAAATATGATGAAGAAATCGAAGGAGAACAAAAACAGTCATTTGTCCTAGGTAAGCATGTCTAGCAAAAAGTGAAGAGGTGCTTTTGATAATGTTTGCTAAATGACTTGTGGTGCATTGTCCTTTTAGCTCCATTGTTAATTGGTTATGTTAGGTTTGTTTTCTCAGGATTTCTTGCAGTGTCTTCAGAGCGGTTTTCCATTTTCATCTTGTGTAAAATTTACTTGTCTACTTGTCTTCTGTAGAGTGCTCTGATATCGTATCAACTGAAAGCATGTTGGTCACTTGTTCATCGGTTAGATAATGCAGATGCATCTTAATAACATCAGTCAATTTTGCGTCACATTTTTTTTACAAATTATTGTTCTTTGAGTTAGAACCTATGCCCTGCTGAAACATCATTAGTGAGCCTTAAGGTAATTTCCAAAAAATGTGGAAACAATATGAGGAAAGGGCTTAGTACCATACTACTTGTAAATAATATGTGAAACTACGTGACGTGGTGAAGGGAGAAAAAGAAAAAGGGCTAGAGGAAGAGGACTGATTGTCAGAGAATGACTCCAAACCCTTGGCAAAATCCTAGTAGTCCATAGGCATCTTGCAGCTCTCAGTCATGTGCCACGATTATTAATTTCTGTCTAGTTATGTCAGTCATCAGAAAAATGTCTGCCATTTTGTATTATCTCACTGACAACAGCTGTTTTAAAAGGAAATATACGTCTAAGCCTGCAAGTGTTTATGATTTCTTAGAGAGGCAAGACCGTAAAATTTTCAGAAAAGTTTTCAATGCCAAAGGACATCCACTTTTATCTATTATGCCTCGCATTAAACCCTCCAGCTACAATCTTAGGAAAGAAACTTGTTTTAAACCTAAGATTAACACTATGCGCTTTAAAAACTCTTTTATTAATCGTTTAGTTTTTAAATATGAATTAGCTATGTAATATACTAGATATATATACCGGTATATATTTTTTAATTCTTACTTTTTAACTTTTTAAAATTTCTTACACTTACTTGTAACAAAACATATGTATTTTTATCTCTTGATGAATAAAGACTTTATTATTATTATTATTATTATTATTATTATTATTATTAAAATTAATGCTGTTGTTTGTAGGTTCGGGAGGAACATATGACACATCAAAAGAAGATGAAGTGAAAAAGGTACGTCGCTCACATTTAGTTCAAAGTGTCTTCATGCTCCACTTAAGAAATGAGAGGGCAACTGAGGCTATTTGAGTTTGCAAAGACTTCTGGGACTGTTACCGGGAAGAGGAGAAAACATTGGCCAATAGCTGGCAAGCAAGTCCCCAGTAACAATCCCAGAAACAAAAGGGAGTTTTAGAATCGAGGACGGCTACTGCAGCAAAAGCGTCACTTTTTCAATGGATTAGTGTTTTTCAAACTTTATCGCGTTTATTCCAATTCACTGAAAATGTCTCATGTAGGCAAATATCCCTGGAATTGATTTCTTGGGGACTGCACTCAAGTTTAAAAAGGGAAAATTACTTCCTCCCTAAAATGTGAAATTAGGCATTTTCATGTCGTAGTCGTGCAGCAACGGCAAAGAAATGTACAAAAAAGCGTGATGCACGTGCAAACTTGTTGTTTTGCTTAATAAACCTATTTCTGTTTTCACGTTCTTGTTGCTGTCGCCGTCGTCGTTGTTAAAACTCCCTAATTGTACGATGCATTTCAGCTCCAGTTTCCATATTGCTTCTAAAGTGGTGAAAGTATAACCTGTAAAATTGTTCTCTTACATCAACCCGCTGTTTGACTGTGTAAAAATGGCAACTTTCGAGATGACTACACGATCAATGGTTGTACTTAATTTCATGTTTTTCTTTTAGATACAAGCCAAACTAAAAGCCCAAATGGTAGGTGCATATTAAGCTATAAAAATAATCATACATAATGTACTTCAGCTATTGCAAAAGCTTCATTCCTCCGTACTGAAGAACTGGTAAAAAGAAATGGCCTAGCACTAACACTTCCTTAGTTCTTTTTACGTCTTTGTGTTCAAATTAACCTAATCTCTAATCAACTTTGCCCTTCAAGAAATTAACTCACTCGAAATGATGGCTAGTGGAAGAAAAAATCAAAAGTTTTGCTAAAAAGGATTTCGTCCATAGATTTAAAGGTTAATGACAAATTACATGTATCTCGCCCTAGCCTGGTACAGCAGCAAAAGGGTTAATGTAAATTAAAATCTGCATACTAGATGAACTCTGTAAAGAGGCTAAACCCATCAGGACACCCTACAAGTGTAGGTGTAGACTGCAAAATAGCCTATTTTTTTCTTTGGTCAAGGAGTGGAACTGTGAGTGGTCAAACAACAGTTGTAAAGCAAGAGTGTAAATGGAGAGTGAGACTAGGGAGAGAGGCACTTGTGAGGCTTGCATGCACCCAAGATGCTACTGTATGTTGAGGGGCTGCAGGAGTAACGCGTGTGTAGAGTGTTTTCACATGAGTCACGGCGGCCATATTGGTGTCACAAAACAAGGAAACAGCGGCCATGTTGGTGTCCCAAACCAGTCCTTTGGGAGTTGAACACTTTTCTAATGCAAACGCTTTCTTTTGTTCCAATAAATTTGCATAGATGCTGGTCACGTGAGTGAAAACACTCTAGACATGTAGTCGAATCTGAACTAACGGCCAGCTTTTTGCACCCCTCGCTTTAGATTTAACCTCTCTACAATGGCCAGTTGCCTCTGGCCCTTAAGAAGCCTTTGTAGAAAGGCTTGACTGTGATTAGATTTGTATTTAACCCCTTAAGCCCCAATATTAACATACAAATTCTCCCGACTCCTCTCCATACATTTCCATAAATAATTAGTTAGAAGAATTTGACAAAAGATCAAAGCATTTTTTCTTTGGTGATCATTTTATTAATTCTCACACCTTCTTCTCTTGATAATGCATTCTTATTGTTAGGAGAAAATCGATGTTGGTCACTAGTAGGACTTAAGGAGGGAGACATTGGGATTTTCGGTTTTGCGGTTTTGGCTATTTTTTAGATCGGTTTTTCGGTTTTTGTTGCAAAAGACTTCGGTTTTTCGGTTTTGGCGGTCATTGCGGTTTGCGGATTTTTCGTTTTTTAGCATCTGGTTTTCGGTTTTCGTGAAAAATACTAGCGGTTTTTCGGTTTTGGTACCCGATGTGGTTTTTGGTTTTTCCTATTTTGTCCTATTTTGGGTTCCGGTTTCTGTTCGATTTGAGCAGCACTTGATCTCGAATAGCCGCGAAACGCCAAAGTTATTTAGAGGAATGCGTACCTCCCGTGCCAGCAACGCGCGGAAGAAGCAATTGTGGATTGTGTTGCGTTTTTTTACGAGGAGGGAAAAGGCGGCGAGAATTTTCGAAAGAAAAACAAGTTTAGATGTAAAGTGAAAAGGGAAGAGACAAGCCTGCAGAAGCTTAAGAATAGTGTTTCGTAAGTCAATCGACAATCATTAATGTCATTATACAGTGAAACCTGTATTAAGCGGACACCCTCGATTAAGCAGACAGTAGACGAAGTCCCAAAATTTATTTCTCTTATTTACTTTAAATGAAACCTTTATTAAGCGGACACCTCTATTAAGCGGACGCGGACACCTAAAAAGTACGTGAAATAGTCATTTCTATTGTTACCAACCTGTATTAAACGGACACTTGTATTCAAATTCCACTACCCAACATGCCAGACACCGGAAATGCGAAAGATTACCTCGAATTGCCACCCACAACTTTTTCGATTTTTACATTAAAAAACGTTACTTGACGAACTTATTTGATTAGTTCCACAGTACAGTATTTTTTTTTCTATTTCGTTTTGTTTGTATAGAGCTTGTTTCACTCATCTGATTTCTTCAAATTTGAGTTGCAATCTATGTTTATGGTACTATGACCAATCGGTCCACTTTGATAAAGAAATTAATGCAAACGTATATCGTCGAAGTCTCTGGGAGTATTTTTAACATTTCCACTGTTCATTTGAATAGCATTTGACATCTCATATGACGTTATCTATCGAAACCTGTATTAGGCGGACACCCTGTATTAAGCGGACACTACAGCATTCCCCGAGGGTGTCCGCTTAATACTGGTTTCACTGTATTTACATTACAATAGCTTAATCACTATAGTTTATCCCATACATAAAGCTCGTTTACGAAGACTTAATGTCCCTAATAGTCCTAATACATTGAGAATACGCAATATCTAAGCGTAGAAGATCGAAGAGAGGTTAAGATCAGACTCTGTTCACAGGGTAATCAAACACGTTGCACGTTAGACAATCGAGTCTCCAAACTTTCAGGTGTTAGTTATCAAATGGAAATGTTCGATTAGAGATTTTCGATTGAAGTTTCCAGAGCTATAGCTTTTTGCGACTGCAAAATTGCAATTCTAAAGAGGACTTGTGTGCAAATTCTCCTATATCTAGAGGCTTTTCGGAAATTGAGCCGCAATGTCTGGGCTCGAGAGAGCGGCAGAAACAAAGCCTATGATTTAACAGACACAAAAAGATACGAAGGCTTCAGACAAAGTCCATGACATTCACAAATACTTTGGTGAAATTAGTGTTAGTTTAGTTTGCTCTGTATGCCCCACTTGTCACCATTGTATCGGTTTTTGACGGTTTTGTATGCGGTTTTCGGTTTTGGCCGAATTTTTTTGCGGTTTTGCGGTTTTGGATGATTTTTTCCTTCGGTTTTGCGGTTTCTAATATACCCCAATGCCCCCCTCCTTAAGGTTAAGCTGCGCTCACATTGCAGTACAGTAGTTTAAAACGCAGGTGGTAATAAAGGTTGGCAGTGTCAGCTGATTTAACACACAGCCCCTTGATTAGTGCTGGAAAGAAATCGCTACATTTAACCCTCTAAGCCCCAAGAGTGATCAGCATCAAATTTCTTCTTGTAATATCAATGCTTTGTAAAACAGAGTGGTCATGAGAATTACAGACATGATCACGCAAGATGAATTTGTTTGATATTTTATCAACTTCTCCCCACTACTACTGTAGGAAATAAATAGGGGCAACAAATGAGAATTCAAATTATGATCTTAGGGTTTAAAGGGTTAAGTCTTCAAAAGAGGCGTTTTCTTATTCAACTTTATTGTTGGCAGGTTTCGTTAGAAATGGCGAAGCCTCAGCTGGCAGCAGAATACTATACCCAGGAAGAAATGGTAACAGATACTGTAGTGTTACAATATTATTATTCTTATTAGTAAATATTAAATAATTATCAGTTGTCTATTTTATAAACGTGGCCGTGTGCTGGTAGAATTTTAGCCTTTAACACAGGCGTATTCTTGGGCGATCAGAAGGTGCTTGCCCTGGCCGCCATCTTTGATTTTATCACTAAGAAGGCCAGGGAGTGTAGGAATAGCAACCCTATGGGTGGTGGGATTGCCCTCTTCACCGCTCCCTTAGCCTGAGAAAACAGCTGGCATTTTGTGATGCCACCACTGTTTTCCCAAGAAATGACGTCTAAGAAATAACTGTAGAAATTCCATAATGATGACCGATCTGAATAGTGCTTCTGATTGGTCATACCACGTGGAAAATTTGCCTCAGCCAGTCAGAAGCACTACCCAGATCTGCGTAGTGAGGTGTCATCAGTATGGAATTTCTGCGCTCATTCCTCGGACGTCTTTTGCGGGAAAACCAATGGTAACATCATGAAATGTCAGTTGTTTCTCAGGCTACCACACCCTTAACCTTGGCCCAACACCTTGACTACTATATTTTTTAACATGGCGTTTATGCGAGCAAAAATATTCGCACACCTGCAGAAAACGCGTAGGCCCAGTTTTTCAAAAAGCTGAATATCCCTATCCGACAGATAATTTACTATCCAGTGGATAACCAATTGCGTTATCCACTGGATAGAAAATTATCCAGTGGATAGCGTTATCCAGGTTTTGAACAACAAGGGCCTGCAATGCAGGCTAGGAGAATTACCGAGCAACTTTCTCAGTACTTTGATTTGTTTCAAACCCATAGGTTGGTCTGGATCCATGTAGATCCAGTGTTATGAATGGGGAATGTTGATGGTGACCAAAGGCGTTTTGAAGTTCAGTAAAGCCTCCCTGTAACTGTTAAAAGGGTTTTTTATGTTAGGAAAGTTAGCACTTTATATTGCCCCACCCTTCCCTCCTTCAGTTTTCCAGCGTTTTTTTTTCTGTCTTAAAACCCAAAAACAAGACTTTGTTAGCTGACATTATTTACTTTGGGTAGGTGAAATTTAAGAAGCCAAAGAAAAGAAGAAAAATCAAGAAGAGGGAGACCTTAAAGGTAACAATCTCTGCTAAGGAATTGTGACTCTCCTTAGATCTGAGATGAGTTTGCAGAATTGTTTCTACTAGGCAACGACACACTGTTCAACAATTATTGCTGATGAGATCCTGGCCAAACATTTTTTGAGCACGTTCTACCTCTATTGAACACAACATTGAGATTTGATAAGACACTGTTGTATGTTGTGGTATCCATGGCTCAAGTTTTATTTTCCTTCGTTGGGGGATATGGCGGTGCACTTTTACGATTTTAATGGTATGGTTGATTCACGTGCTGGAAGTTTAGATTTGTTTTTGGATTTTCGGCTGCATGACCGCCAACTTTATGTGCATTAGCGTTCCCACTTTGCATTCTTGTTCTCTATGGGATTGATACCATCCTCTAGTGAAAAAGCGGTATAGCACCCAGTTTCGCTAAGTCAAATAAGCCCCACTCTATTCTTCCGCCCCGCCTCAAACGCCTTGAAATAAATAAACCCCCGGGAGGCGTTATACAGAATTTACAGTGGATAACTTTAGCAAGGACGTTTTTGAGTGATGCACGTCAACCGGAAGTGGATGTTTTGCACTCTTGGGCAGCGGACTTGCCCATATTTTCGGGCAGATCGTCTGTAGACGAGTAAAGACATTTAGTAAGACAAATGTGGTAGCGTCAAGGCATACTAAAATGAAGAAGGGCACACTTCCGGTCGACGTGCGTCGTCCAAAAACGTCTTTGCTTACGCTCTTTACTAGCCTGCGTTAGACGTGTTTAGTCAACCCCAGACACATCCTTAATATTATAGCGATCGCAAGCATGTAATGTTTATTTTTAGGGACGGACCATTAGAAAAATTATAGGGTGGGGTGAGGGGAATTTTCAAGCCGCAGGAATTTTTTTTCGTTATCAAATTCCTTGTATGAATTGCACGAATATTTTTTGGGATTAATTGGCGTACAAGAATTTTTTTCATTTAATTTTCCCTTGCGCGAATATCTTTTTTTGTACTTCGCCCGCGCCCCCCATAAGTTTTCCAATGGTCCGCCCCTTACTCGAGTTTGTTGTGAAGATGGCGCCACTCAGATGTCTTTCCGATGTGACATCAAACAGTCATCGTTCATGTTCTGGATCGTATTATGGAAACCATACTTAACAACAATTACTCAGTAATGACTGTATTCATTCCACAGGCAGATGATCTTGAAGTGTTACCGGGTCAAACAGATTTAAACAGTGATCGTGGTTCAAGGTATGGTGAGCTGATATTAGGGAGCTTAAGCAAAGACGTTTTTGAGCAACGGACGTCAACCGCAAGTGAGGACTTTTCCCTTGTAATATGCCTTGACGCTATGTAATTTGTATTGCTTAGTTTCTTTACTCTTATAGAGACGATTTGACTGAAAATTTGGCAAAACCATCGCCCAAAAATGAAAAAGGGCAACTTCCGGTTGACGTGCGTCGCTCAAAAACGTCTTTGCTTAAGTTCCCTATTATTGCTGAAGTAGAAAGGGTGTTAGGGTGCTATCTTGGATTTATCGTTTGGGAGAGAAGTCCCGAGTGGCCGAAGGCCATGAGCTTCCTAGCAGGATCCGGGGGCCTGCCTCCCGTCCCGGTAATTTTTTGAAATGAATATGCACTGAGATGCAATCTGGTGCATTTTGAGACACAATTTTGAGAGATGTTACAGTGGTATTTTATTTCATTTTTTAGTCGTGATCTTGTTCCTTGTCATATAGTGCCCGTAGATAGGGGATACTTACTTCATGTGCACTGATCTCGTCGCGTCTGGATGATTTTTCCAATACAGTTACTTATATACTGTAATGGTAACAATATATTTTTTTTTGGGGGGGGGGGGGGGGGGAGCTTCTACCCTCCCCTCAAATACCCTAGATAGAACCTTGGGTGTATTAATACGCTAGAGAAATCCAGCATCCTCACTAACCACTCACGCCAAATGCAGGGCAATCAAGAACAAACTAAAACCCTAACACCCTCCAGCCCCTCCAGTGTTTTAATTGACGTATGGAAAAAGGCTTCCCAATGGAGACAACGATCTTTTAGTGCCCAGTCGAATCTACCCCCTCTGCTTTCATAAACCAAGATGGGGGACTATGATTGTACATTGTATGAGGAGTTCGCTCTCCCACAAAGGCCAAAAATACGGATGGTTTAAGACATTCAACAGGTGCTGATGACCATATCCTCGTGTTGCATTTGTATGTGGTTCTATTATTTTACAAGGTGATAAAATTAAACGAAGGGTAAATTGTCTTTTCTCTACGTTACTGTATGTATACAGAGCCGTGAAGTCAATCCTAAAGAATGCTCCTAAAAGACGGGAGCAAGAAGAACAAGAAGACATGATGGAACTAGATCCACTGGAGCCAGAGGACGAAGGTTTGATTTACTCCATAGTCTCAGTTGTATGGTTAAACAAAGGAAATTATTGACGGCCTTAACATTCTAAACTACGAGTAGTCTCTCATTTTCCTCAGAGATAGTAAAACGAGGGAAATATGCTGGCATGCGTGAAAATCGCCGCGCGCGAGGAGAGACGAGACGGTGAGGAAGGAGAGAAATTTTCACGTGCGCTCGGGTAATTCGGTCGCTCTACTGTCCATGTGGAAAGTGAGGGACTGGTCGTAGTCTAATAACTGCCAAGGTATCAGTAACGTTTAGGCAACCGCAATGTGAGAGAGAATAAATAAAAAAACATTGAGAATGCGCTCCAATTGATTCATTTATTTAGCTACTTAGCTTGGTGTCGTTGATTTCTGTTTTAGAAATCCTTGCAACTGAGAATGACTATGGTGGAATAATTGAAGAGGATGATGCCCAGCTGGAATTACAGCTGGCACTGGAAAGGTGATCAACGGGTTATATCTTATTCGTGTCATTTATTGTCAGTCGGTGATATTAGAAAAATTATTTTTGATTTTACAAGTTATATACGCGTTAGGGTTTCATAATGAGGCCGTTGGCCGCATCGTAGCTTGCGAACAAGCTCTTCATTTCCAGTGGAAAACCAGACGAGCGATAAGAGAACGCGCGAGTGAACGGCAAAGGCCCGCCTGTCGCTTTCGTGTCTCCTTTCGTGTGACGTGCGCGCGTGGCTTTCACGAAACCCCCCAAAGGAGATGGCCGCTTTAATTAGCTTTAAAGTGGCCGTTTAGCGAGGTTCCTTTGTAGTCGTTTATTTTGTGTTCGTGTCACGCGTGTCTGATACCGATGGTGTTAAATTGTTTTCTGTAGATCTCGTCGATTGAAGCAAAAGAAAGCAGCAACTGGCGTTGAAAGGGTGTGTATTAGAAGCAGAGAATTATCTTAGTTATAAAAACCGCTGACTCGTTAGATCATTTAGTTGTGGACTTGGGTACTGTAGACCTGGGTTCGATCCCAGGCCGAACCCCGGGGGTCTACTCAATGTTTTATGCGGACAGAATCCGCCCCGAGTTCCAACCTCTTACCTTCTTATGCGCCACTTATGCCAAGAAAAGTACCCCTTTCGTATATCTTCCATTAAAAAAGAGGTGTCCCTTTTATAGTGAGCCTTCTTGTCATTGTATGTAGCCTTTAAAAAATTATAATGATACGGCCATAAGGTGGATCTGTTCGAAATATGTTAATTAAAGGCCCATTACTGGAAAAGGTATCCCTTTTGGGCGGAACCTCCCCGTATAGGCCATCGCGGGGGTTATAATCTGCGATCAGGCGAATTTGTTTTGTTATGTTTTGTTTTGTTTGTTTTTTTGTTTGTTTGTTTTGGGGAGAAGAGGCGGGGGTACTATTAATGTATGCATGGCTGTAACTAAAATTTCAAGTTGCCGGGTAAATACAACAAGTAGGCGGGGAATCAAGCAGCTAGGGATTTCTTTTGGTTCTATTTTTCTTCCATTTTCCTATGAAAGTAGCAGGGGAAAATACCCGGCTCCCGGATCTAAAATGACAGCCATGAGTGTCTGTGTGGTGTGATTCGTAGGTAATTGAGGCGCTTGCCACCGTTAAGAAAGAGAAAGAAGAAGAAGACACGGATAAGAAAGGTAGGTATGCAGTGACATTATTC